GCAACCAGCTAATATATCATATCACAACTCTTTTTTTCTATTTTCTTATCAATAAACCATGCTATTGTTCTCGCTCAAAGCACACATCAGAGCCCTATTATTATTATAATTATCTTTGAAAGGAAAGTCAAATACATCAGCAAACCAGAGACCAAACGGACAGCATTACTTTTACAAATACATCGAGGAGCCAGAAATGCAACACACAACACACAGTCTCTATTATCTTGACTATTATACATTTTGTTTAGCTTTTTTTTTTTTCATTCTTTAATGGCACATAGACTTACTTAGCTAGAATTATGGCCATAATATAGCAGTCTTCTTGATACATTACAATTCTACATATCTATCCTATTTACAAATGAACAGAGCTTTAATTTGACTATGACTTTTACAACAATAACAATTGCCAAAATTCAAGCAAGCATCCTAGTATTATCACATAGCTGGCTGGCTAGCAGTGATGGATCCAACAACATGCTGTCTGGCAACAACAAGGACCTCCTCCACCAGACATCTACATGCTGCTGTCTGGCCCAGTGTTGCCTAGGCAACAACAAGGACCTCCTCCACCAGACATCTACATGCTGCTGTCTGGCCCAGTGTTGCCTAGGCAACAACAAGGACCTCCTCCACCAGACATCGACATGCTGCTGTCTGGCCCAGTGTTGCCTAGGCAACAACAAGGACCTCCTCCACCAGACATCGACATGCTGCTGTCTGGCCCAGTGTTGCCTAGGCAACAACAAGGACCTCCTCCACCAGACATCGACATGCTGCTGTCTGGCCCAGTGTTGCCTAGGCAACAACAAGGACCTCCTCCACCAGACATTGACATGCTGCTGTCTGGCCCAGTGTTGCCTAGGCAACAACAAGGACCTCCTCCACCAGACATCGACATGCCGCTGTCTGTCCCAGTGTTGCCTAGGCAACAACAAGGACCTCCTCCACCAGACATCTACATGCCGCTGTCTGGCCCAGTGTTGCCTAGGCAACAACAAGGACCTCCTCCACCAGACATCTACATGCTGCTGTCTGGCCCAGTGTTGCCTAGGCAACAACAAGGACCTCCTCCACCAGACATCTACATGCTGCTGTCTGGCCCAGTGTTGCCTAGGCAACAACAAGGACCTCCTCCACCAGACATCTATATGCTGCTGTCTGGCCCAGTGTTGCCTAGGCAACAACAAGGACCTCCTCCACCAGACATCTATATGCTGCTGTCTGGCCCAGTGTTGCCTAGGCAACAACAAGGACCTCCTCCACCAGACATCTACATGCTGCTGTCTGGCCCAGTGTTGCCTAGGCAACAACAAGGACCTCCTCCACCAGACATCTACATGCTGCTGTCTGGCCCAGTGTTGCCTAGGCAACAACAAGGACCTCCTCCACCAGACATCTACATGCTGCTGTCTGGCCCAGTGTTGCCTAGGCAACAACAAGGACCTCCTCCACCAGACATCTACATGCTGCTGTCTGGCCCAGTGTTGCCTAGGCAACAACAAGGACCTCCTCCACCAGACATCTACATGCTGCTGTCTGGCCCAGTGTTGCCTAGGCAACAACAAGGACCTCCTCCACCAGACATCTACATGCTGCTGTCTGGCCCAGTGTTGCCTAGGCAACAACAAGGACCTCCTCCACCAGACATCTACATGCTGCTGTCTGGCCCAGTGTTGCCTAGGCAACAACAAGGACCTCCTCCACCAGACATCTACATGCTGTACACAGATTTTCAAAGCTTCTCATCTTTTTGTTTCTCGCCCCAAAACGCAACAAAACTCCTTACAGTTATACGGCGCGTTCCAAAACGGCACCATATTCTCTATATTAGTGCACTACTTTTGACCAGGGTCCTATGTGTCCTGGTCAAAATAAGTGTGCTACGTAGAGTGCCATTTTGGGGATGCGCACCAAGTTATATGTGTTTCTCTTCACTGATAACATGGTCTCTAGGAGTGCATGGATGATTATAAATCCCATGTATAGCAACCTCTTACGATATTATCACTTCTAACGTAAAATTACTGCCGTTCTTTGGTATGGAAATAAGGCTGGGCTTTCTGAAAGACGATTCACGATTCGTTTGTATCTAGATCTTAAGTTGACATCATCAAACTCCACAAAACAAATCTATGCAAATATCTTTGCAGCCTCTGTTGCCTTCAATGACACATTTAGCCATCTCCATATCCTTTATATAGTGTGGAGTCCCAGATGGCACCCTATTCACTGTATAGTGAACTACTTTTGACCAGGGCCCTGATGAAAAGTAGTACACTAACTAGGGAATAAGGTGCTATTTGGGACACAGCAATATTTTTCAAGCCTGTGAGTGACACTCTGGCCACTGAAACGTGTGTCCGCCTGTCTTGACATTTTTATCCATCTACAACTGATACTAAGTAAGGACACACACAGTGTGGTTTATTCTATACAGCATGGATGCATTAAGTGACACGGCAAATAAAAAAAGAACCATAAGAAATAGTATTGAAAACATTATCAGAGTTTATACAGCTGCCTTGATGGTGAATGGTGAAGCTCTGGATGGTTCTAGATCCAGAATCTGTTTGGTTCTAGAATCGCTTCTAGAATGTGCAGATTCCATGTACTACTATACTATTATCCACAGTCAGTCTGTAAAGATGGCGCAAGGTCTTGGACTTTGGAAATAAGGCAGCCAAGTTTGTCGTTGCTTCCCTTCCTAGGAGTGTCATATTACGGTACAAAAGTAGCACAGGCTTTGAAATGTAAGATTTCACTGTGGGATAACGCTGTTCAGATATGAACCAGTACCATTGATTTGGTATAATGATAATGTATGATGAAGATAATGTCTTAAATTCAGCACCTGGTAGCTCCCAGATGGTTGCTACCCATTTAGTATTCGGATATGGCAGGCAAATGTACTGCTAAAATGTAATGTCATTAAGTTGCCTACTGATTCCAATATTGTATTTTTCTGTTTGGATTCACTTTTGAAACGCATTCTTCTAAAACAGGATACAACATCCTACAGCAAAAAATTTTTGGTGAAGTTCATTTGTGTGTTTGTGTGATTGTGTGTGTGTGATTGTGTGTGATTGTGTGTGTGATTGTGTGTTTTTGTGCCAGAATTCCTATGTATTAGGTGATTTCTGAACATATTGCATTGTTGAATGAGTAGACATAAAATGGAAGATATGGTTTAACTTTGTGGTGTTCATCATACCTTGGGAAATCTATCCCTTACAACAAGTCTGCCACCGAAATGCCTCCGCGGGCCCTGGTCAAAAGCAGTGCACTATGTAGGGAATAAGCCCATGTCTCACGGCATACTTTAAAATCCCTTCTAATACTTGAAATGCACTCATTTTTGATTTCATTGGAAGGTGAAATGAAGTGGTACTGTGATTCAGATAACAACAATAACAGTGCTATAAAGCAGCTTGTCAGTAGGACAGGTTAGGCTAACAGTGCTATAAAGCAGCGTGTCAGTAGGACAGGTTAGGCTAACAGTGCTATAAAGCAGCTTGTCAGTAGGACAGGTTAGGCTAACAGTGCTATAAAGCAGCGTGTCAGTAGGACAGGTTAGGCTAACAGTGCTATAAAGCAGCGTATCAGTAGGACAGGCTAACAGTGCTATAAAGCAGCGTGTCAGTAGGACAGGTTAGGCTAACAGTGCTATAAAGCAGCGTGTCAGTAGGACAGGCTAACAGTGCTATAAAGCAGCGTATCAGTAGGACAGGCTAACAGTGCTATAAAGCAGCGTGTCAGTAGGACAGGTTAGGCTAACAGTGCTATAAAGCAGCGTGTCAGTAGGACAGGCTAACAGTGCTATAAAGCAGCGTGTCAGTAGGACAGGTTAGGCTAACAGTGCTATAAAGCAGCGTGTCAGTAGGACAGGTTAGGCTAACAGTGCTATAAAGCAGCGTGTCAGTAGGACAGGTTAGGCTAACAGTGCTATAAAGCAGCGTGTCAGTAGGATAGGTTAGGCTAACAGTGCTATAAAGCAGCGTGTCAGTAGGACAGGTTAGGCTAACAGTGCTATAAAGCAGTGTGTCAGTAGGACAGGCTACAGTGCTATAAAGCAGCGTGTCAGTAGGACAGGTTAGGCTAACAGTGCTATAAAGCAGCGTGTCAGTAGGACAGGTTAGGCTAACAGTGCTATAAAGCAGTGTGTCAGTAGGACATGCTAACAGTGCTATAAAGCAGCGTGTCAGTAGGACAGGTTAGGCTAACAGTGCTATAAAGCAGCGTGTCAGTAGGACAGGTTAGGCTAACAGTGCTATAAAGCAGCGTGTCAGTAGGACAGGTTAGGCTAACAGTGCTATAAAGCAGCGTGTCAGTAGGACAGGTTAGGCTAACAGTGCTATAAAGCAGCGTGTCAGTAGGACAGGTTAGGCTAACAGTGCTATAAAGCAGCGTGTCAGTAGGACAGGTTAGGCTAACAGTGCTATAAAGCAGCGTGTCAGTAGGACAGGTTAGGCTAACAGTGCTATAAAGCAGCGTGTCAGTAGGACAGGTTAGGCTAACAGTGCTATAAAGCAGCGTGTCAGTAGGACAGGTTAGGCTAACAGTGCTATAAAGCAGTGTGTCAGTAGGACAGGTTAGGCTAACAGTGCTATAAAGCAGCGTGTCAGTGGGAGTGTTTAGGCTGGCACCTTTCACTGGACAAATGGCCAAGAGTCCAGAAGTTTTTTTCCTGACAAACAGTAATAAAAAAACAAGATACATACACATTACTCACAGTTCAAAACATAAGACAACAAACAGAAATCATAAATACTTATTTAAAAAGATCATTTGCATCTGAATTGGCACCCTATTCCCTATATAGTGCATTTCTTTTGACCAGGCCCTCTATAGGTCGACCCTATGGACCCTGATCAAAAGTAGTGCACTATATAGGGAATAGGCATCCATTCTGGATGCATCCAATAACAACATTAGCCCAACATCTCTACAGTAGCAGGCTGGTCTTTGCTCTCCAGCCAGTCGAAAGAGGCGTTCACAGTATCACTACATATCTGCTGAAACAGAGGGTCGTTCTTCAGCTCTTCCAGTGTGGCGTCTTCGTACTGTTCTTGCTGCTGACTGGACGGATTGAACAGGAGGTTGGCGTCCAGCGTGTTCAGGTCAGTGATGCTATTGGAGAGGTCGGCGGTCAACCTGATGTCGTTGGTGAAGTCGGACGCCACGGCGGCGTTAAGCTCTGACGCCACCTGACCGACCAGTTGAGAGCTGGGGTTGAGGCCTTCAGCGTCGACGTTGAGGCCGTCGTCACCTAACAGGTCTTTAACAGTGTTGTTGAAGTCCAGCTGTTGCTGAGCCTCATCCTCCTGCTGCTGGGTGATGGTGGGCTGGAGGAGTACCTGGGACTGGGGCCGGAGAAGCTGGAGCCCGGCCTGGAGCTGGGGATGGGGACTCTGGAGCAGCCTAGCCTGGGATTGGAGCTGGGTCTGGGCCTGGAGCTGTCCCGAGTCTTCCTGAAGCTCTTGGAGGTCCTGGATCTGCTGGAGCTCCAGGTCCACGTCCTCGCCAGGACCTGATTGTGCTTGGTTGTCTCCAGAGGAGAAGCTCACCCCCCCCCCGCCTCCTCCAGCGCTGGTGAGGTAGCTCCCATGCCGCTGGAGATCGAAGGAGGCAGGGCTGGAGCTGATGGTCTGCAGCTGAGGGTGGGACTGGCGGGTGTTACCTCCTCCCCCTCCGGTTGTGAAGCTCCCTTGGGTGGCCTGGCTCTGAGACTGGGTCTCCAGCATCTGGGTGAGGTTCATGCGGGCGGTGTAGTTGGAGGGAAAGTTGTTGATGCCCAGGCCCCTGACTGTGTCATCCACGCCAGAGTCCATCTTACTCAGGAGGACGTTGGTGATCTTAGTGGCATTACTCTGGTTCTGTCCCTGGATGACCTGCATCTCTACAGGAAGCAGCTCCATCTCCACAACGCTCTGCATCATGATGTTTAAGGGCACCGATTGGCTGCGCTGGGCCATGCTGTGGAGGTTACTACCCACCGATTGGCTGTTGGACAGGAAGCTGAGTATCTCGGAGGAGGTCATGGGGGAGCTGAAAGGGGAGACGACCAATCGAGTGGTTGTGCTAGTGCCGGGGGTTGTGCCGGTACCGCTGAAGGTCCTCTGGCGCACGGCGGGGCTCACGCTACGGCAACGGAACGTCCCACCCCCTGACGATGAGGCTCCGCCCTTGTTGTCCAAAGGGGCGGGCACAGCAAAGCTCTCATCCTGTTTGGTTGGCGTGTTGGTGGGCGTGGTCAACACGCTGGTCATCTGCTGTTGCACCGGGGAGATGGGAGCGAAGTGTCCGCCGTCCTGCTGTCTGGACTGGGCCTGGAAAGACTGGCCACTGTGGCCCGGAACAGCGAAGGCGTGCGGCTTACGGAAGTGGTCGTCCACTAGATCCTGGTAGCTGGGCAGGAGTCCACCAAGGCTGTGGTTAGAGATGGATAACCCAGACCCTGGCCCTGCTCCGACTCCTCCAGTTGCTCCAGTTCCACTACTGTTGTAGCGGTTGTTGATCCACTCCAGTTTAGCCTTGTCTGGGTGAGTGGCCATGGGCCTCTGCATGGGCTTGACGGGGCTGGAGGAGACAGACACCACGGAGGCATCGTGGTAACCCCCTGCCATGCTGGAGTTGATGGGGGTGAAGGCAAACGGGTTCCTGCACTCCACAGGGCTAGGCGGTATGCTACTAGAACAGTTGGACAGAGCGCTTATAGGGGTGTGTCGGCCTCCTAGAGGCCCCTCCACGGGCGTGATAGGGGCCATGCTGTGATGGCAGCAGGGGCTCCCTCTGGTCAGCCCGTGCCCACCGAGAGTCATCTCCGTGGGGGTTGGAGTAGGGGTGGGGGTCGGGGTGGGGGTCTGGACGGGGGTAATGCTGCTATGAGCAGACTGGTAGAAAGAGGAGTTACCCCCCTGGTGGTGGGTGTTGATGATGGGCCCCTGGGGGCCCCCAGGCTGGCCCTGGAGAGAGATATTATCCACACAGCTACTGAACAGTGGCTGCAGGCCCTTCAGTTTCATCTGTTCTTCCATCTGAACCAGTTCCTCTACTATGCTGTCCTGGGTCATATCATCATCGTTAAAGGAGAAGTAGTCCATGGTGGAACCGTGCTGGGAGGCTGAGGAGGCAAAGTCCACCATCTCCTGGTGAAGGCCTGTTAACTGGGCAGAGGAGTCTGAGGTCTTGGACATGATGTTGGGGAGTTGGTGTTGGTCCATGGTGGAGCCCAGGGCCTGCTGCTTGTTGCGGTCTGCTGGTATCTAGAATAGACAATAATGGAATATAACTTTATTGACCATCAGAGGAGGACAATGTTTCATTGGCATCACCATACAAGGATGATTAAAAACGTTACATTGCATTTTAATCAGTAAGGTCTCTGGTGTTATAATATTGTGGAATGACACTTTAACAACTTTTCGAAACTCTACTAATTAAAAACAGTTAGCCTGATGCAATGCATTATACATAGACATAGAGGGACATACATATAAGCTGTGTTCGAATACTCATACTAACCTCACTAACCATACTATTTGTGACAGAAATTGAGTATGTAGTATGCTTATTGGTTATAGTACAGTGAGGGAAAAAAAGTATTTGATCCCCTGCTGATTTTGTACGTTTGCCCACTGACAAAGATCTGATCAGTCTATAATTTTAATGGTAGGTTTATTTGAACAGTGAGAGACAGAATAACAACAACAAAATCCAGAAAAACGCATGTCACAAATGTTATAAATTGATTTGCATTTTAATGAGGGAAATAAGTATTTGACCCCTCTGCAAAACATGACTTAGTACTTGGTGGCAAAACCCTTGTTGGCAATCACAGAGGTCAGACGTTTCTTGTAGTTGGCCACCAGGTTTGTACACATCTCAGGAGGGATTTTGTCCCACTCCTCTTTGCAGATCTTCTCCAAGTCATTAAGGTTTCGAGGCTGACGTTTGGCAACTCGAACCTTCAGCTCCCTCCACAGATTTTCTATGGTATTAAGGTCTGGAGACTGGCTAGGCCACTCCAGGCCCTTAATGTGCTTCTTCTTGAGCCACTCCATTGTTGCCTTGGCCGTGTGTTTTGGGTCATTGTCATGCTGGAATACCCATCCACGACCCATTTTCAATGCCCTGGCTGAGGTTCTCACCCAAGATTTGACGGTACATGGCCCCGTCCATCGTCCCTTTGATGCGGTGAAGTTGTCCTGTCCCCTTAGCAGAAAAACACAACCAAAGCATAATGTTTCCACCTCCATGTTTGACGGTGGGGATGGTGTTCTTGGGGTCATAGGCAGCATTCCTCCTCTTCCAAACACGACGAGTTGAGTTGATGCCAAAGAGCTCGATTTTGGTCTCATCTGACCACAACACTTTGACCCAGTTCTCCTCTGAATCATTCAGATGTTCATTGGCAAACTTCAGACGGGCCTGTATATATGCTTTCTTGAGCAGGGGGACCTTGCGGGCGCTGCAGGATTTCAGTCCTTCACGGCGTAGTGTGTTACCAATTGTTTTCTTGGTGACTATGGTCCCAACTGCCTTGAGATCATTGACAAGATCCTCCCATGTAGTTCTGGGCTGATTCCTCACCGTTCTCATGATCATTGCAACTCCACGAGGTGAGATCTTGCATGGAGCCCCAGGCCGAGGGAGATTGACAGTTATTTTGTGTTTCTTCCATTTGCGAATAATCGCACCAACTGTTGTCACCTTCTCACCAAGCTGCTTGGCGATGGTCTTGTAGCCTATTCCAGCCTTGTGTAGGTCTACAATCTGTTCCCTGACATCCTTGGAGAGCTCTTTGGTCTTGGCCATGGTGGAGAGTTTGGAATCTGATTCATTGATTGCTTCTGTGGACAGGTGTCATTTATACAGGTAACAAACTGAGATTAGGAGCACTCCCTTTAAGAGTGTGCTCCTAATCTCAGCTCGTTACCTTTATAAAAGACACCTGGGAGCCAGAAATCTTTCTGATTGAGAGGGGGTCAAGTACTAAGTCATGTTTTGCAGAGGGGTCAAATACTTATTTCCCTCATTAAAATGCAAATCAATTTATAACATTTTTGACATGCGTTTTTCTGGATTTTGTTGTTGTTATTCTGTCTCTCACTGTTCAAATAAACCTACCATTAAAATTATAGACAAATCATTTCTTTGTCAGTGGGCAAACGTACAAAATCAGCAGGGGATCAAATACTTTTTTCCCTCACTGTATGTGTATAGTTAGTATGCCAAAAGTTCCCGGATGTCGTACTACGTTCACCAAAATACGAAGTATTCAAGCAGTGGAAACTATTTCTGTGCTTTTAGGGCCCATAATGCAATTCTTCATAAAATGGGCGTCGCCTCACAACGTTTTCAGATTTGAAGAAAATGGCGGAAAATATGCAGCCGAAGTCCGACGAGAGCGGATACAAATTCATCGCTTTAACTAATTATGACAAATGTTAAGAAATGTAATAAAGTAATGACTTTTTAAATAAGTTACGTTGGCTGACAATTTGTTAGCTACGCTATCCTTACGAACCGCATAGCATATCACTACAGCGGTATATACCGTTATGTTAGCTAGCTATCTAACGTCAGTTGGCTACTAAGGGTGTGTTCGTAAATTCAGAGCGTTGTCAGTAGGGTTGATCCGAGCGTTCTGACAACACAACCGCAGTCAAGCACCCAAGCTAACTGGCTAACATGCTAGCTACTTCCAGACACACATGAGAGAAACACCTCACTCTGACCATTTTACTCGCCCTAGCAGAGCTGGTTAGGCTGTTTTCATGTTATCCAGAGCGTTTGGTGACTGTAACTGTGCTGCTGGCAACAATTTAATAACGCTTTTTTGCCGACGTTTACTGACACCGGGCCATATTCAACCGCTGTTGAGCGTTTGTAAATTCATCAGTTATTCTGCGCTGAATTTACGAATGCCTGTTAACTGACCCAATGCAACCTATTGACTTGATTATTCAAGTCATTCTTAGCTAAGTGGTATAGTCGTTGTGCGTTCTTAATGGAAATTGTTAATGAAGTCATAAGATGTCTAGCTATTAATTTGTTATGCTAGCAAGAAGTTGCATAGCAACAGCATCAACTTCCGGTAGACAGGCTAAGCGCTAGTATGCTCAACTGAAAAGATACCGTTCGTTTACATTATACTAAAATGAACTTATAGTATGTAGTATACAGTATGGATATTCTAACACAGATAGAGACTCACATTCTGACTGAAGGCCTGTTTCTGCAGCTCCTCCAGATGCCCTGCAGCTGACTCCTCCCACATTGTGCTCTTCACGTCCCCCATCACAGAGACAGAGGCCTCAGAGTGTTGCTGTGCGCCTACTGCCATCACAGAGACAGAGGTCTCAGAGTGCTGCTGCTGCTGCTCAGACACTGTGGTGGTGGTGGTGGTGCTACCAGGGGCTGCAGTGCTGCTGGTGTGACTGCTGACAGTGCTTAGTGTTGGTCCTAGAGAGGACGGATCTTCGCGTTTCACTACCAGCAACGAGGAGACCTGGGGCTTCACACTGACAACAGTCTGAGAGGAGGAAAGGGAGGAGATCTCTGTGTTTGTGACGGGCGAGTCGGACAGCGCCAGGATCTGCGTGGGCACTAGGTGTTGTTTCACCGTCACTCGACAGGGGGCGCTCTCAGGTCTGGCAGGGGTGCCAGGTCTAGCTGGGACCCTCTTGACGGCAGCGCTGACCCATGGTTTGGGGTCAAAGGTCACACTCAAAGGCTGCTGGGAGATGAAGACGCGCTTCACAGGGATGACGTGGGAGGAATCCAGCCCGGGGCCGGTTCGCTTCCTGGGGCTCTTGACCCCTGACGGGCAGGACGAGGAGTCATTAGGCGACAATAAGGTAACAGCCGACGAGGAGGACATTCCGCTGACACTAGGAGCGTTCTGATTGGCCGAGGGAGCAACAGTCAGATACAAAGTACTTTCTTGGTGACAGGTGGTGGCGATGCTGCTGTTATTGCTGTCCTGCTGAGACCCCGCCCCCTTGATCGCTGCACTGGTGGTCACTCTGTCAGGTCCTGGAGAGCATTTGACCAGGAGCGAGGGTTCACTGGCCGCCCGGTACTTGGTGGCCCTCTCTGGACCCTTGGCCCCACCGGGGGGCTGCTGTATGGGGCTCTGTTTATCACAGTTAGAGCCCAGGTTATTGTCAGTGATGATGACTTCAGGGGCCACTGTGGGAGTAGGGGTGGAGGATGGGGCACCGGGCCATACTGCAGGGGACTGGGGTGTGGCTGGGGCTGGGGGGCCTCCCTGGCTCTGTCCCTGTTGCTGAACCGCCTCTAGGGCAGCGATGGTGGTAAAGGTGGTGGTGGTTGTGGTTCCCACCCCGGCCGAGGCTGAAGCTGGCCTGAGGACCATACTGTTACTGCTGGTACTGATAGTGTTGCTAGGGGCCAGGGAGATGGTGGTCATCTTGACAACGTGGTGGGTCTTGATGGGGCTGTTGGTGATGAGCAGGGTGGGGGGCGAACGCAGGGTGATGGCCCCTGTGGCTGAGGGCTTGGGGAGGATCTGGGGGTACCTGTGGGTCCAGGAGATGGAAATAGATTAACACAAACTACAGCTTTATAGTGTGTATTAATGTTTATTAGACAGTGTCTATTTAACCAGCAGAACATTAACGCATTACACTAACCCTTACCTTAACCCCACTGAAACTATACCCAACTTAACCCATGTTCCTGAACCTTAACCCTAACCATACTTCATTTGACCCCTATGCCTAACCTTAGGTTTTGGTTCTGAGGGTGGAGTATACACTTCCTTATTATGGTTGTTACCTGTGCCTGGCCAGGCGGTCGCCCACGGGGCTGGCTGAGATGTTTTGGGGCGTCTTTGGGGACTGCCTATGGGTCAGCGACTGGGTGTGGGTGACCACCTGGAAGTTGACCGTTGGCAGGACCTTCCCCTCGGTGGATCCCACCGGGCTCGGGGAGGCCATCAGCTGTCTGCTCCTCTGGACCTGCCGGGGAAAACAGACACGGTGGAACATGTTAGATCAGGAATTATGGCTATTAGCATTAACAACCCAAAACACTTCTTGGAAAAACACTTGTCTGGTTTATTTCTGTGTATTTTTAGACTACTTAGTGTAGAACCATTATCAATCTTGTCTGATCTCTGTGTGTGTGTGCATACATCGGTGTGTAAAACTAGAGAAGAAGTTATTAACCCCTTCTTACCGTGATGGGGCTGGAGACAGCTGCCACCATTATACCAATGGTAGGTTGTGGTGAGAGCAGAGCAGGACTTCCACAGGGGATAGCTGGCCCTGGGGTGCTGGCCTCGGCCCTCCTGGCCTGGTTCTGTCCCTGGGCCTCTCCAGGCAGGGGGGACTGGAGCTTCTGATCCTGCTGCTTCTTCTGGATCTTCCTCTGGAGCTGCTGCTTGGCGTCCACCGAGGGAGAGGCCAGCGTCTTCACCTGCGGCTGGAAGGACGAGGCCTCGGACGTGGCCACGAACGCAGAGGTTGGCGTGGGCGTCTTCAGACCTGGTGAGACATACAGATGAGAAAATAGATTCTTAGTAACAGATACTTTTTAAAGTCAACACACCTGAGAATTGTTAAAAAAGTTGTTGAATCTGCAGAACTAGCGTTTGACTCCGGCACCCAAACCATTACATCTTCAACTAGAGTTGAGCCCCCTGTTGACAGTTGAGCCCACTGTTGACAGTTGAGCCCCCTGTTGACAGTTGAGCCCCCTGTTGACAGTTGCACCCCCTGTTGACAGTTGAGCCCCCTGTTGACAGTTGTCATCAACACGCACCCACCCAATACCCTTCCTACCACCATCCCCATTAGCCATGCCTACCCGTGGGAGCCCCAGTCATGACGGTGAGGGCAGCCATGGACTTGGTTCCTATATAGTGACTGTTGAGCAGGAAGCGAGCCAGGTCCTCCACGGCATCAAACTGTCTGCTGAGGACCTTCTGAGCCCACTCACACACCAAGCCACAGGCCGCTGAGCGCATCTCATCCTCTGCACTGGGAGACTGGCCCGACGACGGCTCCATTAACTCACACTGGGGGGAGATGAGGGAAGAGGGTCAGTAGGGAAGAGGTCGTTCAGATCTGATATCCTGTCTGAAGTTAGGGAAGAGGTCACTCAGATCTGATATCCTGTCTAGAGTTAGGGAAGAGGTCATTCAGATCTGATATCCTGTCTGAAGTTAGGGAAGAGGTCACTCAGATCTGATATCCTGTCTAGAGTTAGGGAAGAGGTCATTCAGATCTGATATCCTGTCTGGAGTTAGGGGAAGAGGTCATTCAGATCTGATATCCTGCCTGGAGTTAGGGGAAGAGGTCATTCAGATCTGATATCCTGTCTGGAGTTAGGGGAAGAAGTCATTCAGATCTGATATCCTGCCTGGAGTTTGGGTGGATCTACTAGGGTAAATTCAATTTCAATTCAGATCTAAACTGAAATTCCAATTCTAATTTTCAATGAGATTTGGAATTGGAATATCAATTTACTTCCTGAATTGAAATGGAACTGACCCCAACCCTACAATCTACACGTACTTGCTCTGAAATGATTATAGCCACTTCCTGGCTAAAAAGCCATCATGTAAACTTACCCCGTCACCTGACTTTTGTAAGTCCAGGTTGGGCAGAGAAGGCATGTGAACAAAAGCTTTCTTCCTCAGTCCACTGTAACAGTATTTAGATTTGCCTCTCATGCCCAGGCGGCGAGCCTTCATGTTGGGAAAGACATTCTTCATGATCTTTCCAAAGTCTGCAGCACTCAGTGGGTGATAAGCAAGACTGTCACAGTAACTCCTGAAACACATTCACGATAGACATGACATGTATTATCACAATACAATCTGTAGTGCAGGAGGTTGGCGTCACCTTAATTGGGGAGGACGGGCTCGTGGTAATGGCTGGAGCGGAATCAGTGGAATGGTATCAAATATTAAAATACATCAAACAAATGGTTTCCATGTGTTTGATGCCGTTCCACTGGCTCCGATCCAGACATTATTATGAGCCGTCCTCCCCTCAGGAGCCTCCACTGATATGTACATGTATTATCACAATACTATACATGTTATTCCTAGCCACTGTATTTCTGCCCCTGCACTGCTTGCTCTTTGGGTATCTGTAAAGCACTTTGTGTGAGAACACAGGTAGGGTTGCAAAATTCCCGTAACTTTCCCAAAATTCCCAGGTTTTCCAGGAAATCCTGGTTGGAGGATTCAGGATTTTCCTGCTTATTGCCTTTTGACTCCAGGAATATTTTGCAATCCTAAGTACAGGTCAATACTCACTTGTACTCTAAGTACAGGTCATACTCACTTGTACTCGTCGTACACCTCTTGCTTTGGCAGGGACGTCTCGGGGTGCTCCTCTAGGTGATTCCGGATCCAGTTGAAAGCGTACATCTGCTGTGTTCGGCTGGACGACATGCCGCTCTGGTCACTGAAACGGTTTAAGTTACAACAACACAAACAAATTAGAGGGGGCGAAACGTTCTTCAAACTCATATATGTTCTTGTGATGTGTTTGACCAGACAAGACAGTGTGTAAAAAGCCAGTCTCCGGTTTTGTTTCCCATTTCTTTCAATGAATTGTGTGTGTGTGTGTGTGTGTGTGTGTGTGTGTGTGTGTGTGTGTGTGTGTAACGTAGAGGAGTAAGTACCATAGTCCAGGAGTGGAGGCTCTCTGATTCTCAGTCCTAGTGATGTTGAGGTGATGGGTACGTAGACAGTGATATATAGAAACAAATTAAGGACACAGAAAGCTGGGTATAATAGCAAATCAATCATTATACTAGTATCATCGCTTCGTAATGATACAAATAAACGATTATATGAACGGACATAAGCGTCAGATCAGAAGACAGAGACATCAGTGGTGAATATTGATGCAAAGGAATTGCAGACACTTTCTTTTCAAATGCACTGAAATATTAGTCAAACTAATACATCCTGCTTGTGATCAAAAAGCAGCCGGGTAAAACAATATTATCAGGCAACCCAAAAAATGAAATCTAAGACAAATTGAAAGCTGTCACGTGCACCACAATCGGCACAGCAGTAATAATATAGGCTACAAAGGACAATGAGATACAGAATACTTTTTTTGTGTACTGTATATATCCTCGACAATTTTGCCTTCAGAAAGTATTCACACCCCTTGACTTTTTCCCACATTTTGTTGTGTTACAGCCTGAATTTAAAATGGATTAAATATAGATTATGTGTCACTGGCCTACACACAATACCCCATAATGTCAAAATGGAATTATGTTTTTAGACATTCTTACAAATTTAATTAGAAATGAAAAGCTGAAATGTCTTAAGCCAATAAGTATTCAACCCCTTTCTTATGCCAAGCCTAAATAAGTTCAGGAGTAAAAATGTGCTTAACAAGTCACATAATAAGTTGCATGGACTCTTATGTGCAATAACATGATTTTTGAATGACTACCTCATCTCTGTACCTCACACATACAATTATATGTAAGGTACTTCAGTCGAGCAGTGAAAACACAGATTCAACCCCAAAGACCAGGGAGGTTTTCCAATGCCTCGCAAAGAAGGGCATCTATTGGTAGATGGGTAAAAATGTAAAAAGCAGACATTGAATATCCCTTTGAGGATGGTGAAGATATGAATTACACTTTGGATGGTGTATCAATACATCCACTCACTACAAAGATATAGGTGTCCTTCCTAACTCAGTTGCCGGAGAGGAAGGAAACCGCTCAGGGATTTCACCATGAGGCCAATGGTGACTTTAAAACAGTTACAGAGTTTAATGGCTGTGATAGGAGAAAACTGAGGATGGATCAGCAACATCTTAGTTACTCCCCAATAATAACCTAAATGACATAGTGAAAAGAAGGAAGCCTGTACAGAATAAAAAATATTCCAAAACATGCATCCTGTTTGCAATAAGGCACTAAAGTGGATAAGAGCATCTGCTAAATGATGTAAATGTCAAGTAAAACTGCAAAAAAATTTGGCAAAGAAATTAACTTTATCTACTGAATACAAAGTGTTATGTTTGGGGCAAATCCAACACATCACCGAGTACCACTCTTCATGTTTTCAAGCATGGTGGTGGCTGCATCATGTTATGGGTATGCTTTTCATCGGCAAGGACTAGGGAAGTTTTTAGGCTATAAATACATGGAATAGAAATTCCAAATTCCTAGAGGAAAACCTGTTTCAGTCTGGGAGAAAAATGCACCTTTCAGCAGGACAATAACCTAAAATTCAAGGCCGAAAATACACTGTAGTTGCTTACCGAGATGACATTGAATGTTCCTGAGTGGCCTAGTTACAGTTTTGAGACTTGGAAATGGCTGTCTAGCAATGATCCAACAGCCAACTTGACAGAGCTTGAAAAATGTTTTTAAGAATAAAATGCAAATATTGTACAATCCAGGTGTGCAAAGCTATATAGACTTACCCAGAAAAACTCACAGCTGTAATTGCTGCCAAAGTTGCTTCTGCAAAGTATTGACTCAGGGGTGTGAAATTAGATATTTCTGTATTTCATTTTCAATAAAAAAAAAAAAGGTTTTCACTTTGTCATTATGAGGTATTGTGTGTAGGTGGGCGAGATTTAAAAAAATATTTAATCCATTTTGAATTCAAGCTGCAACACAACAAAATGTGGAATAAGTCAAGGGGTATGAATACTTTCTGAAGGCGCTGTATCTGTTGCCTGGTGTAATATTTTACGTCTTTTGAATCGTCAAGTCAAATCAAATACAGCTAAATGAGAGAAAAAGAGAATACGTTACCTTTTATCATTGCCATTGTTGGGACCAGAAGGCAACTTGAGATAGAGGTAGAGTTTTTCGATGTCTGTAAACTTCTCAACATCTTGCTGTAAAATGTCAAAAAGAGAGGTAAAAGAGAGAGACAAAACATGTTTTGATGAGCATTTAATAGGACAGACATAGCGTATCGCTGTGACCATGGCAACCAACCTGCTTCTCTGCCACTGTCAGTTAGTTACCTACCTTTGGTTGAATGTACTGATTGTAGCCAAGTCGCTCTGGATAAGAGTGTCTCCTAATGACTCGAATGTAATGTAAACGTAGCATAGATATTATGATAATCAAAACGCTACACGTGTTGTATATACAGATGCTGCCAGCGGGCACACTGACAACACGTCTTTGATTTCCACTACAAAAACAGACTCCACCCCAGCTCCTTTTCTATTCGCCTCTTTGTTGCTAGGGGAAACCACACTTATGAATGAGGTGAGAGTTGTCAGCCAATCAGCGGAGAATAAAAAAAAAATTTTTTACTGGACTCCACCACTACCAGCGTGCCGTTTGCCTGCTAGCTGCCGCCTGCCACTGTCTTTTCTAACAATATAGGTTAGCTAGTCTGCTTTCATTCTGTTATGATTGACACAAGTAGGTCTAAGCATACATGTTAATTGGGTCCTCCTTATATGAGTTAGGCTTATTACCAGGGTCATGTTCATTATATAAGCAAGAAAAAGGAAGAAAACGGACTGAAACAGGGAGGAACTAGTACCTGGACATAAGAGTACCACATTATTAATCATAATACTCATAAAACAAAGAAATGGTTCCAATATTTATTCCACCCTTAGTTTTTCCCCATAGGGGATTTTAGAAACACTTAAAATAAGGGCTGTGTTTCGTGTAGGCTTACTCTTGCGTGACGTTTTGATAACAGTGTAAATTTATCTAGGACAAGGTGACTTTTATCAATATATTTGCCTGTATTTACCCCCCCCCCCCCCAAAAAAAAGAAATAACTACAAATGCCATGATGAGCTTGACGAGACTGCCGAATCGAGGCAAAGGTAAGAATGTCTGGATAAACTATGTTAGCTAAATTTAGTAATGAATAAATTGGCTAAACTCCTTTTTAAATTGACAATTCTGTGCAAGTTTTAAATTGACACAACACATGTTAGCAAAGATGTCAGCAAGAGATGACGTGCAAGAGCTTGCAGGGATTTGTAGTCTTGCATGATGTCTACTTTTGATGCGAAAATGCCGCATTTTCGAATCTGAGAGTAAATAGAGCTGAATATATTGATAAAAGTCACCTTGTCCGAGAGAGATTTACATGGTTATCAAAACGTCACGCCAGGGTAAGCCTACAGGAAACACAGCCCTTATTTTAAGTGTTTTTAAAATCCGCTATGGGAAAAATGAATGGTGGAAAAACGATTGGAACCATTTCCCTGTTTGACCGCTAGGTTTTATGGGTATTATGACACCTTCACTGTGGGGCTCTATAAGGTCGTTTTTTTAATGCTACGGTGTGCCACAATGAACACAACCCAGGTTTAGACTGCATGGCGTAACGTTATCAGTCCAACACCAGATCAGACAGAGATATGAGGGTGAACAGACAGACAGACAGACAGACACTCGGACATGCTCTCAATGTTGACACAGACAAGGTAGCTACATCGTTACTAAAGCCAGTGATACCTTCAGGCTTGGGGTCAATTCCATTTCAATTCCAATGAATCCAGAGAGTAAACAAAATTCCAATTCCAAATTGTCCTTATTGAAAAGCGTTGAAGAGAATTGGAATTTCAGTGTACTTTCTGAATTGGAATTTATATGGAATTCACCCCAACCCTGGACAGCTTATAGTCCTTCTGAAGCCTTATGACACTATGAAGGCTCATACATGCTTATACCCAGTTATAAATCATTATACCTGCAGCCTTTAAATAAAGTGTTACTGAAAGACAGTCGTTGCCCTAGCAATTTCCGGTATTTCTGAGCCATATTCTTCACAAACCCACAAGGAAGTAAAAATGATTGCTAAATTGGTGCACACCGGTACATGAGCACCTTTTAACTGAGCCAAACTCTTGTTTTTCACTCTGCATCAAAGTCGACATATTAATAACAACTACTCACCAATATGTTGTCCACTTTTGATTGTACAGATTTGCTACAATGAGGAAGAGAAAGGCAGAGTGATTGACAGCGGAACAAGGCAGCAGCAGAACATGTTCTCAAAAGACCTCAATCTCACACAACAGAATGTTGTACGCATCTCAAATTGACCCTTTCCCCCTAGGGCCTTCCTAAACCCTACCCACCTGTGTAGATCTGATAGGATTTGATAGGTGCTACGACTGGGCGGTATACCATATTTTACGATACACCGGTATTGATGCACAGACCGGTTTGGGTTTTTACTTTACCTTCTATAACGGTATTTGAATGTTTGGTTTGTTAAAGGTGAGGCCCCAGTGCATACATAAAAACATTAAAATAATTCATACTGGGAGGCCCTTATTATTTATATTCTAACTATAGAATTAGAATATACATTACATTTCCAACAGTTCACCCAAATGTTTTGATCCAAATCGCAATTGCAACATTTTGTTAAGAAATAAGGCATAGATTTTGGCCCCATGTCATGCAGCCCTAGGTGGCAGTGTGGAAATCTCAAATGAGTGAATGAGGAAATGCAGAAATTGATGAGAATGCACAAAATTATTTTTGGTTGAAGTTGAATTGAACAGTACAAAACGATCAGAATGGAGAAAGTCCCGTTTAAATCACTTAGCATGTATGTGTTGTTGCCACCCTAGGGTCACGCACTACTCATAAAGCAAATGTAGAACTTTTATTATTCAAAAACATCAAATATCATCATACCGTCAAAAATGTGAAACATACCTTGATATGATATTTGGACCATATCGTCCATCCCTAATAGGTGCAATGTGCTGGATATTCCACCTTGCCAAGGTAGATTTATATCATATCAAATCCTTTCAGATCTCCACAATGCAGTGCATAGAGTCTAGGAATGTTATTTTTGACAGGTCTCATCACCAAGAATATGGAACAGTACATGTTATACACAAACTCTGTATTCAATGACATTATGGGTAATTTGTGTCAGGGACCTATAGCTGACTAATCATACTTGCAGACTTATGACTATTATTGATAATAGACGAGTGTCGGTGCATTGGACTCGGGTGTCATTGGGCCTCCTATGGCCACGCATACATAATTATAACTATGTAGCTAGCTGTCATGATGTAGCTAGCAGGCTGCAGAGCTTGTGTAGAGCCAACTAGAGCGATAGCTTTTTCAATATGTCTGGAAAATTGTCTAGCAAGCTTGGCTAACTAGCTAGCAGCAATTATTTCACAGCCAGCCCCAGCAACAAGGACATACAACCAATATTAGCTAGCTAGCTAGCTAACCTAACCTAAACCCAATTCATATTCTACTACTAGCTAGCTACTTCAATACACACCAGTGTAGTTATCTATTAGCTAGTTACATATTGATTAGCTAAAGAATCGAAGACGTAAACGAGAATGGGGCGAGTTAAGGTAGAATACAGGCGAGCCCCCGAGCTGTCATCATTTTGTAGCTGTGCAGCACCGTAGCTAATTTATAAACTAGCCAAGTGAAGTGTGTGGTGTGTGCATTGACCATTGAATGCATTAATATATATCTTACCAAATTGAATTCTTTATTTTGTACTGCAACGCATTGGCCTCGGGGCCCTGTAGTCCCGGTACTAACGTTGGAAGAGAGCCCAATCCCGAGGTGGGCTTCAGCTGACCAGGTTGTTGCTGTTCATCATCATCGGCCATCACGATGATATTCTCGTTGAGGGGAGGTGGGTTGGTCGGGGGTCTAACAAATAGGCCTCATCCTGCTTATACCTTGATATAGCGTTGCTTCCCCGGCTGTGGCAGTGCATGCATGACGCCAGAGCGGAGTACCCACCGTTTGATGATGAGGATCGTATGAGCTAGGTCAACCTACTGTATCGACGATAGATCATGACGGTTAAGACTATTACTTGACTGCATGCGGGAACACAAAAGGCATTATTTCGCAGAGAGAGGGGCTGGCCACTGCTGCAAACAGCGAGCACGCCTGCTGCAGGCTACGGAAGGCGATGCTGCTTGCAGGCTGTAGAGGCGCACGCGCAATCACATTGATGGAAAATAATGAAGCTGCAACATCAGTTCAGAGACAGTATTAATGTTTCCATATCAAATTGATAATAACAACAGTGTAATAAGAGTATAGCAACAGTGTAATAGCAGTATAATAGTAACTAACATAATAACGCTATGGGGGGCCAGTATGAAAAATGTATGCACTCACTAACTGTAAGTCACTCTGGATAAGAGTGTCTGCTAAATGACTAAAATGTAAATGTAATACAGTATTTGAACAAAGTCAGCTCCAGCTGAGACCGATAATTTACGAACAATAAACTGCTCAAGCAGTTTCCGAAATGTTTTCATAATATAATAATATAATTTACTAAATGTAAAAACAATGCAGGCGATTCATGCAAAAAATCTAATTAATTTTCGGTGTAATTCATAATGTATCACACTAGTCAGTACATACAGTGCATTCGGAAAATGTTCAGACCCCTTGACTTTGTCCACATTTTTTTTTTATTTTTTTTTTTTACGTTACAGCCGTATTCTAAATTGGATTAAATTAAATTCGTTCCTCATCAATCTACACACAATACCCCATAATGACAAAGCGAAAACAGGTTTTTAGACATTTTTGCAAATGTATTAAAAATAAAAAACAGAAATACCTTATTTACACAGTGGCCTCCATCACTCATAAATGGTAGAAGTTTGGAACCACCAATATTCTTTCTAGAGCTGGCCGCCCGGCCAAGCTGAGCAATCGGGGGAGAAGGACCTTAGTCAGGGAGGTGACCAAGAACCCGATGGTCACTCTGACAGAGCTCCAGAGTTCCTCTGTGGAGATTGGGGAACCTTCCAGAAGGACAACCATCTCTGCAGCACTCCACCAATCAGGCCTTTATGGTAGAGTGGCCAGATGGAAGCCACTCCTCAGTAAAAGGCACACGACAAACGCTTGGAGTTTGCCAAAAGGCACCTAAAGACTCTCAGACCATAATAATATGCCATTTAGCAGACGCTTTTATCCAAAGCGACTTACAGTCATGTGCGCATACATTTTTATGTATGGGTGGTCCCGGGGATCGAACCCACTACCCTGGCGTTACAAGCGCCATGCTCTACCAATTGAGCTACAGAGGACCATGACCATGACCATGACAAACAAGATTCTCTGGTCTCATGAAACCAAGAGTGAATTATTTGGCCTGAATGCCAAGCGTCACGTCTGGAGGAAACCTGGCACCATCCCTACGGTGAAGCATGGTGTTGGCAGCATCATGCTGTGGGGATGTTTTCCAGCGGCAGGGACTGGGAGACTAGTCAGGATCGAGGGAAAGATGAACGGAGCAAAGTACAGAGAGATCCTTGATGAAAACCTGCTCCAGAGCGCTCAGGACCTCAAACGGGGGCGAAGGTTCACCTTCCAACAGGACAACGACCCTAAGCACACAGCCAAGACAATGCAGGAGTGGCTTCAAGCGAAGTCTCTGAATGTCCTTGAGTGGCCCAGCCAGAGCCTGGACTTGAACCCGATCGAACAT